AGCAGCTAACAAATTACATGTATTTAAAAGTTTCAAGTACTATGATGAAAGACGATGCTTCAGTGGCCCAACAGCTCAGTCCTTCTTCCATCGATATAGTTCAGAATTCATTTACACCTTCTTAGCCTGGGTAATTCTTGTCCATATCTCACCATAAGTCCTCCAAAGAGACTCTCCCTTGGCTCTTTTAGTGTTTTGTGTTTAACAATGTACCCTGGGGGGACTTGTCTTCTCTGCCTCATTCTCCTTATACGACCAATCTTTCTCCTTTTCCAGTTGTATACATCTTGGATAATGCCATTTCTGGCCTTTTTCTTATGCAGTCTACTTAGGCCTATGATCCACCTTTCTTTGGCCTATGGGCCACTGATTCTTCTGAGATCATGGTGTTCCATGCTGTCCTATGTACACTGAAGATTTCAAAGATCTTTTTAAAAAAAGTAATCATTTGAATACTAGGCTACTCTGAATTGGTCTATACCAGGGGTGGGGAACATGTGGCTTCAAGGCCACATGTGGCCCTCTAGGTCCTCAACTGCAGCCCTTTCAAGTTTGGATTCCATCAAAGGGCCACACTTGAGGACCTAGAGGGCCACATGTGGCCTTGCCCATTCTTGGTATAGTTTGGATAGAAGCAATTAACAGGATTCCAGTTATATGTGCAATTTCATTTTCATGAGTTAGACCAGGACTGGGATCCAGTCATGGTAGTAAAGCAGGAAAATATTTCTGTATCTGTTCAGTGTAGTTGAGAGTTTCCCAGTGGTTTGCCTCCTAGTAATAAACTCTGTAGGTAGATTAGGAGGAAGGGGGCAGAGAGGGAGCTGAATTTCTGTTCTTTGAGATCCAGAACTGTCCTAACACATTCAAACTGCTTTTGGAATGAGTAAATGGAAGCACAGTTTACACTGAGAGTTTCAGTGTTTAGTTTTTGTTTTTAGTGGGTGAGAACAATGACACAAAAATAAATAAAAGACAGTTTTGCTGGGACACATGTGTAGGAGCTAATTATCCATATCTCCATTTGTTTAAATTTTTGGACAGTAGAGAAATTCTAATCAGATTTTCCACTTTCCCACAATTTTAAATTGTTTTCATTCTTATGAAGTAGAAGGGGCACTGCTACTTTTAGATTCTGAGCAGTAATTAGTCAACATCTATTTATTGTATACCTACTATGTACAATCAGTCAACAAGCATTTACCTATTAAGCACCTACTATATGCCAGGCCTTGTGGTGAAAGCTAGAGATATAAGGAAATTGTTTTAAAAACTGTCTCTGCCCTCAAGGACCTTACATTCTACTTAGGAAGATAACAAATAAATAACCATACATACAAGGTACATTCCTCAGGAAGAGGAGATAAAACTATCCCTATTTGTAGACAACATGATAATTTACTTAAAACAGTAGTCTCCATATTGATAAAAAGATGATCCATTATGCTTCAGGAAGAAGAAATTAGAACTTCTAATTCTTCTTTATAAATTTCTAATTCTTTTAAAAAAAAGAAAAAAATTAAGCCTAGTTAATATTTAACAAAAAGATTGATCAAAATCCACATTTGTTTCCTATGTCAGAAAGTCAGATGTTACACATGGTTCCCAAAGTATTCTGGGAAAAGAGGAGGTGCTTCCAACGCAGAGGAGCATCTTCCTCACTGTTGATACATTTTCAGTGAATTGCAACCTATTGTAGTCACATGTGCTCAGCAGAAGATTTCTAGATCATTTATTTTGTTGAGTTTTAACTAAGTGAATAAATGGTTTGAAAATATTCCTGCAAAGAAACTGCAGATTGAAAATTATGCTAATAATGCAAACACTGGTGAAAAACTGTGGCAATCCTGAGCCTTCTGCTCATAGTGAGAGTTCTCTGTTGCCCACATTCTGAGGGAAAAACAGTGAGGGTCAAATTAGATCGGACCCAAAAAGTTGGCCAAAAATTATTAAGATTATTTGAAAAATGTTCTTCTATCCACTTTGATTATGAGCCTCAACTTAAGTATATGTTGTGCCTTGAGATACTGATGACAATATGACATCATGATTAGTAAGACATTTAAAAACTAAGTTTTTGTTGCTGAAAATGATGTATATCAGCTATAACACTCTCATAGGACACAGTGCTGAATCTATCACTCAGGAAGATCTGAGTTCAAATCCTGCCTCAGACTTTTACTAGCTGTGTGACCCTGGGCATGTCACTTACCCTCTGCCAGCCTCAGTTTCCTCATCTGTAAAATGAGGATAATAATAGCACCTACTCCCAGGGTTTTGTGAGGATCAAGGGAGATAATACTGGTAAAGAAATGTGAAAATCTTTTTCTGAGATGGGGTTAAGTATTTTACTTCCTCTTCGGTTAATCTGGGCAATTTATATTTTTGTAAATATGTATCCATTTCACTAAGATTGTCAAATTTGTTGGCATATACTTGGGCAACGTAATTCATAATTATTGTTTTAATTTCCTCTTCCTTGGTGATAGCTTTGCCCTTTTCATTCTTGATACTAGTAATTTGGTTTTCTTTTTTTTAATTAAATTAACCAAAGGTTTATCTATTTTATTGTTTTTTCATAAAACCAGCTTAGTTTTATTTATTAGTGCAATCGTTTTCTTAATTTCAATTTTAGTAATTTTTCCTTTGGTTTTCAATATTTCTAATTGAGTGTTTAGTTGAGGATTTCTAAGTTGTTCTTTTTCTAGTTTTTTTAGTTGTATGCCCAATTCATTAATCTCTTTTTCTATTTTACTTATGTAAGCATTTAGAGATATAAAACTTCCCCTAAGAACTGTTTTCGCTGCATCCCATAAGTTTTGGTATGTTGTCTCATTCCTGTCATTCTCTTGAATTATTGTTTCTATGACTTGTTGTTTGACCCAATCATTTTTTAGGATTAGATTATTTAGTTTCCAATTATTTTTTAGTGTATCTTTCCATGGCCCTTTATTACATATAATTTTTATTGCATCATGATCTGAAAAGGATGCATTTAATATTTCTGTCTTTTTGCATTGCATTATGAGGTTTTTATGCCCTAGTACACGGTCAGTTTTTGTGTATGTGCCATGTGCTGCCGAGAAAAAAGTGTATTCCTTTCTATCCCCATTCAGTTTTCTCCAGAGGTCTATCACACCTAACTTTTCTAATGTTCTATTCACCTCTTTAATTCTTTCTTGTTTATTTTGTGGTTAGATTTATCTAGTGCAGAGAGAGGGAGGTTGACGTCCCCCACTAGTATAGTTTTGCTGTCTATTTCTTCCTGTAACTCCCTGAACTTCTCCTCTATGAATCTGGATGATATACCATTTGGTGCATATATGTTTAGTAATGATATTACTTCATTGTCTATGGTGCCTTTCAGTAGGCTGTAGTTTTCTTATCTCTTTTGATTAGATTTATTTTTGCTTTTGCTTTGTCTGAGATCAGGATTGCTACCCCTGCTTTTTTTACTTCAGCTGACGCATAATATATCCTGCTCCAGTCTTTTACCTTTACCCTGTATGTATCACTCTTTTTCAGATGTGTTTCCTGTAAACAACATTAGGATTGTGTTTTTTAATCCATTCTGCAATCCGTTTCCGTTTCATGGGAGAGTTCATCCCATTCACATTCACAATTATGATTACTATCTGTGTCTTTTTCTCTATCCTTGCTGAGTGAAGTGAGCAGAACCAAGGGGACTTTGTACACAATAACAGCCACGTTATGCGATGACTAATATTGTTAAACTGAACCCTTCTCAGCATTACAAGGATCTAAGACATCGGGATGGAAATACTGTCCACATCCAAAGAAAGAACTATGGAAGTAGAATCGCTATCACTTATTTTTACCTTCTGTTGAATTTTGTTTCATCTTTCTGATGGTTCCTCCTATTGGTTTTAATTTTTACTTACAACTTCACTAATGTGAAAATATGTTTAATAGGAATGTAAATGTAAAGCCTATATCAGATTGTGTGCCGTCTTGGGGAGGGTGGGGGGGAGGAAGGGGGAGAAAAATTTTCCACTTAAAAGCATGTGGAAGTGATTGTTGATAAATCAAAATCAATTAATAAAATTTAAAAAAAAAGAAATGTGTAAATCTTAAAGCACTACATAAACAATACATCATTCTTATTTTTTATTATGATCTTTGCACACTTTAAAAAAATAACAACTTGGGCCAAAAAAAAAAATTAAAAAAACCCAACAACTTGGGAACAGATTTTTCTAACCTGTTTAAAAATGAGTTTCATGGGGCAGCTAGGTGGTGCAGTGGTTAGAGCACCAGCTCTGGATTCAAGAGGACCTGAGTTCAAATTTGGCCTCAGACACATAACACTAGCTGTGTGACCCCAGGCAAGTCACTTAACCCTACTGCCTAGCAAAAAAAAAAAAAAGAGTTTCAGTAGATTTTGAAGCTATTTTTAAAAAATATCTGAAGCTATTTTTAAAAAATATCTGCAACACTTTTCAAGTAATTTGCAAGAACAATAGAATGACATCAGAGAAGACAAACATGTGCTAGCTACCAAAATGAGTCACTGACATATAATATACTCTGATATACTTCCTCCATTTGGATCTATGTATCATTACAAAGTATCTTTTGCAGCCATGGCAGCCATTCATCAAAACCAACTGTCAAAAAAGCTAAGAACCAGACTTTTGTGTGACCATCTCTCAAAGTGTTCAGCCAAGATTTTAAAAAAATAAGAAAGCATATTCAATAATACTGCTATCACTAAAATATCATTAATAATAATTCCCCTGAATAATATTTTAATGGGGGCAAAAAGTTTTGTCAAGGTTAATAAACAAAATAAACATTATTTTAAAAATATTTATTTAATCTTTTTTACATTTCTACTTTAGATATGTTTTGCAATGTATATAATATATTGGTATAGGAGTACATGTATAAGCTTTATAAATGTGTATGTGTACACATACATGTATATGCCTATTGAGAGCGCATGTTCAAAATTTTTAATGACAAATACACAACCAAAACAGTTTTGAAACCACCGATTTATTAAGACTCAGCTGGCAACTGGGAAAGTTATGAACCACATTAAGTATCACCACAGGTTTAGCACATGTGCCTGAAAAATGTGAAAAAAGGAGATACTGTCCTTGAAGTAAAATGCAGGATGTATTTTAGACATAAGTTTTAATTTTTTTTTTACAAACCACATTATATCCAAAATATTGGTACCATTTAAAAATTTAAACACAAAACCCTATGATTCAAGCGAGTTATTTTGTGCTTTGAATACAGCCTAGAGAATCCACCTTCATTTTTCTACGGAGAATTTGCTTTGTGCTTTTCTGGACTTTTCCACAGTTTCAAAAGTGATCATTCCTCTTGGCAGCTGCAGTTTGTTATTTTCTGTATCCAGTATGCTCTCTGCTTCCCCTAAAATAAAGCATGAGAAAGATCTCAATGACATGATGGGAGAAGGACTTGACGGCCAGAACTTCTGGTCTGGGTTACAGAAACAAAACGTCATTTCAACTCTCTGGGCCTCAATTCCCCTCATCTATAAAATGAAAGGCGTACACTAGATAACCTCAAAGGTCAAACCAGCTCCAAAGCCAGCTTGGTGATAAGCCTCTACAAGTTGAGGTAGGTGGTCCTTAGACACACTTCTGAAGTTTGATGCCTGAAGGCACTCCAGTTTAGCAGGATTCAGCCATCACTTTGGAAACCCATCCTCCAGAAGAAAAAGTCCCGGTACAGGCCTTTGGCACATTAAAGGACTTTGCCTCAAAACAAAATGAAACTATGATAAATACTATCCAAAAAAAAAAAAAGGATAAATTTTGGAAACTGCCTTTTTGGTCCCTTATGCCTTGCACTAAAGGCCCAGACCAACTGGCTACAATAAAATGAAATGATGCAATAGTTAGAAATTCCATATTTTCACTCCTTCTCTCCTAAAATCACCTTGATATAAAGGAAGTATGATCCAGTAGGAGGACCATTGGACAAGAAGTAAGGTTAACAGGTTTCTTGCCTGGATTTTTGTCTCACTAGTGTGACCTTGAGTCATTTAGCCTAATTAAGACTGAGAACTGGAAAGGCACTTAAAAGTCATTTAGTCAATCCCTCATGTTTTGTGGTGGTTGTTGTTGTTTTTGAATTGTTTCAATCATACCCAACTCTTCGTGATCTCATTTGGGGTTTTCTTGGCAAAGACAATGGAGTGGTTGCCATTTCCGTCTCCTGTTCATTTTACAGATGAGGAAACTGAGGCAAACAGGGTGAAGTGATTTGCCCCAGGTCACACAGCTCGTAAGTGTCTGAGGTCAGATTTAAAGATGAGTCTTCCTGAGTTCAGGCCTGGTACTGTGCCACCTAGCTGCTCAATCCCTTATTTTATAGAAGCCCAGGAGGATTTGTAGTGATGTGCAATGACACAGAGCTAATACCAGGCAGAGGTGGGATTTGAGTCCAGGTTTCCTGACTGTAGGCCTACTGCCTGGTTCTCTCCTCCATACTGTCCCTCTGGCCTCCAGTTTCCTTATGAAGGGGCTGGACTAGAATGATTTCTTTGGTTCCTGCCAGCTCTAAGATGCATGCTGCTTCTCAAGATAGCAGTTTGTTATCTTGTTAAAAACTCTATAGGACAATGCTATCATTTCCAAATAATAAGACTGGTATTGGAGCATTTCAGAAATGTTCCATCCAAAAACGTTTTTTACTGACTTCAGTTCAATTATTAAATTAAAGAGGATCACTTAAAAAAAATTACACAGCTAGTTACGACCACTAAAGGCCATGATTCAATGTAACTTATTATACGTATACACAAACATACAAACATATATATACATACATATACATACTACTACATCCTAAATTTCCCAGAAAACTAATCATCCTGATAGACATTAATTTGGTGAATGCAAAATTGTATTTAATTTACTGTGAATTGCCAGGACTTTATTTTTTCAAGCTTAAAAACTTTTATTCTTTAAAATACATATCTATGACAAATTTAAAAATATCCATATCCAACCCTGTTCCTAGAAAATAAACTCCTCCTTCATTACTCACAAAGTTCAATGAATGTGGTAAAATTAATTTGACATTCTTTTAGATAATACATTATTTTTAGGGGACAGTCTGGGTTCAAACCTACATATAAATAAGACAGTTTAGTCTTCGACTCATGAGATCTCTTATCCCATGAGATCTCAAGGAGATGAGCAACATGAAACTGAGTTGGTAATGGAAATGGGGTTTAACACAAGTACAGTCTTTTTAAAATCAGCACGTCATTGCTCATACAGATAGTGCCCAAATTATGAACAGGCTGTATTTCAAAAGTATGAAAATACATTGTCTGGAACTTAGACATTTTCCCAAAGACTCAGTATCATAAAGGCTGGTTAGCTACCCAGGCCAGCACACCAAAGCCTAATTAAGGAATTACCTCTAGCCTCTAAAAATCCCCAGCTAAAGGAGCAGGTGAGAGAATCAGAGTGAGGCAGCTGCCATTGTCTGCCAAGGGGCTGGGGTAGGGGAAAGGACAAGCAAGGTCATTGTCTCTTTGGGTGGCAACTCCAGCTCCTGAAGTGGAAGCAGTGATGGGGTTTCTTAAAAGGAAGGTAGCAGCACTCTTGAGGGGAGGCAGAGAGTCTGGCCTTCTTACAAAAATGTTGCTCCCAAGTCATGGATTCGGACTACCTGTATTAAAAAGGAAATGAGGCTATATAAACATTCATTTGTCGGGGACATAACATACCTTTCATCCTCTGCAGAAGGGTTCCATAGCCCATATCATATTGATAAGCAAGGATAAAGCTTAATGGAATGACAGGAAGGAAGAGGCCTGGTTGCTTTCTTTTAATTGCTCTGTTCAAACAAAAACAAATATTAAAAACCATTTTTTGTTGTTTTTTGCTTGTTTTTTAAATTTTTTTTTTTTTAGGGAACTGGGGTTAAGTGACTTGCCTAGGGTCACACAGCTAGTCAATGTCAAGTGTTTGGTCTGAGGCCGGATTTGAATTCAGGCACTCCTGACTGCAGGGCTGCTGCTCTATCCACTGCGCCACCTAGCTGCCCCTAAAGACCATCTTTTTAAGGGGAACAATTGTCTCTAGCCTCTCCCAAAAGATTCATCTGGTTGTTAGAAAGAAAGCTCTCTATTTCAAATGAGACCATAGGTCTTCTGAAGGATAAGTAACTATTGTAATAATAACAAGGACTTTCAAATTCAGCCTTTACTTCTAACGGTTCCTTTTATCTCTGGCACCACCATAATTAAGAGAATTTGCACATTTAACATATTAGTGATGAGCCTGATTTCTTATATGAGTTGCCTTTGTGATCCGTGTGTGTCTTCTAAAGAGAAAAAAAGTTTTTCTTATGACCCTTCCCAGAGTCTCTTCTAAGGAAAAAGGCCGATCTCTGCCCTGAAAAGCAACATGATTTTTGCCTCACTTTTCTCTGTCTTTGAGACCTGTGCAAAAGAGTGATGCAGTGAATCCCGAGATGACTCAATTGTCATGGCTGTAGAGGGCTACTGGCTGTATGTGGGGATCCCACTATACAATTTGCTGCAATAATGAAAATATCTAATAAGGATTCTTTCATTTCTGGATAGGAATAAGAGGTAGTTTTCTCCCACTCCCAGCACATCTTCAGAGATCTTTCCTTCTTGATTTTAAAACAGCACCATCTCTCACTTATGAATTGGACAATTATGCAGGCTAACCCTAATGATGTGACTACCCTGGTTCTATAGTGTTGTTAATAAGTTGACACCAACAAAGGAAAGGGAAAGGACAGGCAAAACCATAGATTTAGAGCTGGAAGGATCCTAAGGGTCCTTCTAGTTCAATCTTCTCATTTTTCAGATGGGGAAACTGAGGCTCAGCGAGGATAAGTGATTGACCAAGGTCACACAGATGTTAAGTATCACAAGCATAACATGTGCCCAGTTCCTCTAACTTAACAATATAGATCATATTGTAGCCTCCATATAGATCACATACAAAGGAATGTCCTATAAGGGGATGTTTTCGTTCCATATTCAGTCTTTGCAACTAAATTCCACTTTAACCATTTTGTGACAATGTGATAGTAAGGTTCCATCTTTTTTTTGGCACTAAGTCATCACTGTGCAGAGGTGATCCTCAGCTCTTGAAAGAAAGTCCTACTAAGCTGAGAGTGCTTCTAATGTTGATCCTATAACAGACAGTGTTTCTATCATCCAAGAACCAGCCTAGTTGAGTGCGTATCACTCAACTGTTGGCTATCAAATGATTGATTTTTTTGGCCACAGCCACTCAGGAATCTGTATACCAAATCATGGAGGTGTTGCAATATGCACTGTGGAGGGAGTACCTACAGTGCTAAAATTGGAGGTCTCCTGAATATCTGAAGCATGGTAATGACAAAGGGGGAGGGAAAAGAAAATATTGGATGTTAGTTGACTTTTTTTAACCATAAAATAAACATCTCTAGGTAAATAGCAAACAACATACCCAGCTGTGAGACCCATGGTAGCAATGCCAAAAAATGTCCCAAAATACTTGAGTAATTCTCTTGACCCAGCAATCTGCATGGCCATCTGCCTTTCTCTCATTTCATTTTGCATTGTTAATTGCCTCTCCAGCTGAGGAGAGAAGAAAAGGTAATGTAGTTATTTATCTTTTAAAATAAGTGCAATTGTTAATGCTACTAATTTGAAAAAGACATTTTTGGTCTCAATTCCCATTTTACCATATAGTTCCTTTATCTCAGTATACTTCACTGCAGACTAAGTAATCCTATATTGCAATGCATTAAATCTAATCATAGTCAATTATATAATGCCTTAGGCTAGGAAGCTAGGTGGCACAGTGGATGGAGCACCTAACATTGCCTGCCTCATAATGTTGTTGATAAAATTTGTGAAGTGCTTAGCACAGTGCCTGACACATAGAATAAACACTTATTTCCTTCCCTTTTACTCCTAATCTTGGAAGTGATATCTGCCTTGATCGTGTAGACAATGGAACATTGAGATTTTGCTTTCATGCTCTTAGGTTACAGCTATAGAGTACTGGGCTCCAATTAGAAGCTAAAAAAACAACTATACAAAATCTGGTGCATACAGAGAATTTAATAGTTACAGTCATATAGTCTGTTGCTAGCTGTTACACCTCATTTTGGAACCACTCTATCTTTCAGATCCACCTAGAGTTTAAATCAAAATCCATTTCCCAAAGTCCATGGCATATTTCTGAAATCTAGAAGCATCATTATTTACAATGGAAAATTTCTGGATGGTCCATTATGTTAAAATAATGTATATAAAATATCTTAAGAGGCTGTGTTATTAGGCAGTTAGTGTATTCAATCCTAATTAAGAATTAGAGACTCAAAACTTTGGATTTTAACTCAGCTGTGGATCCAACATGTGACAAATGGTAAATGACTAATCCTTTCTGTGTATTAATATAATATAGGAAAAAAGGAGAAAAAAGTGACAAGTAGTGAGGAATAATTAAATTAGGTATGTCATCTTAGTTATAAACCTAGATTCAACAATGACTCTCTGTAGAACTTTGCACAAATCATATTTTCTGTGCTGCTATTTCCTATTGGTAAGAGGGAGAATGTTAAGTTGCTACCTAACTTCCACAGAAAGGTTTGACATTCAATAAGTCTGTGATGATCTTTGAGAGCCTACAGTAAAAAAGTTTAGAGTGCAAATGCTGAGCTTTCCATAAGTAATGAACTTTAAGGAAACTTTTCTTAAATTGTATGATGTAAATTTAATCGATATGAAACTTTATGAGCTTTCTCATCCCTTGGTAAATTTTACTTAATCATAGAACAAAACACAGTCACCTATCATTATCAAAGAAAACTGATCCACAAACTATTTTAACACAATTTTATAATGATTAAAACCAATGGAAAAATATACTAATTAAATTATTAATCCCCCAGTTTTAATCCTGTATGTCAGTAGAACCTACATTTTCATCTCCTGTTCTTGAAACATTGCCAACAACAACAAAAAGATTAAAAGAGAATGTCTACCATAAGGCCCTTTAAGAACATTTAACTCAAACACTGAAGTACCTAACTCTTTTATCCTGTTGTGACCTTGTTTTAAATAAACATAATGAATTTTTTTTGGTAATAATTTTCCCTCTTCTATTGTCCAGAGCATTAGTGTTGATTTAGCTTGGGAACAATCTGAAATTAAATTGCTCCTTATTGTCTTTAAACTATGATGATGTTGCTGTTTTTATTTGATGCTAGATAACAAAAATAATTGTAGTTCTGTGATAGCTTGAAACCAAAGTAGGAGGGATAGACTTCATAACTGCACACAGGAAGAGAAACTACATTCTCTCCACCTTCACAAAGCTATTATGTAGGATTCTCTGTGCACTGAACTTTTACTCTTCAGTTGGCCCAATTGAATTTATTATGGACAGCTACTACTACTTGACTGCCATCAATAACTGGCCCATCTCTTGAATTTCCAAAGTGGCAATTATGCAAAAGCCCACAGACCACTTCTAATAGTGAAGAAATAATGAGGTTTCCTTTTAGTACCTATAGCACAACATCGTATACAAATCCTCATTGTGGTTTTTTAATTGGTGTCTATGTAACTATTGAGAACCAGCATGCAGGGGGCTAGGTGGCGCAGGGGATAGAGCACCAGCTCCAGATTCAGGAGGACCTGAGTTCAAATCCGGCCTCAGACACATAACACTTACTAGCTGTGTGACCCTGGGCAAGTCACTTAACCCCACTGCCTATCCTAAAAAAAAAAAAAGAGAGAGAGAGAGAAAACCAGCATGGCCCAAAGATGAATCAATTCCTCTTAGTGTTTTCATCCCATTAATCTTCTCATTTATGCAAAATACATTTAGATGTGATGATAGAGTTGTCTCTGTATTCATTTGATTGAGCAAAAAGATAATTTATATCTTTAGTTATAAATAAATTTTAAACTTTTTTGTTTTAGAAAAATTAATAGGTCATATTAACCTTTATTTATTCACTTTTTTTTTCCTTTGTTTGTTTTGGCTAGGTAATGGGGTTAAGTGACTTGCCCAGGGTCACACAGCTAATAAGTATCAAGTGTCTGAGGCCGCATTTGAACTCAGGTCCTCCTGACTCTAGGGCTGGTGCTCTATCCACTGCGCCACTTAGCTTCCCCCCTACTCACTTTCTTGAAGCACATAAAAGGTACAGGGAAAACTGGCAGAACCCAAATGGAAGCCAAAATTCAAGTTTTTGGTAGAAAGAAACTGCATAGGTGAGAAGAAAAGATAGCAGTTGGCATGTGACATTTTCAGTTGTTTCCTACTTTCAATTGTTCTGTAACCTTTTAAGTAGCTTGGGAAGAGTCTGGGAAAAGAACCAAGTAGCAAATTAAAGCTTTTAAAAAGGAATTTAGCACATTTCAACATCGAACTACAAAACAATTACATACAAGTATAACAATAATAATAATCATGATAATAGGACCTTGTGTCAGCTTAAAAAGTCAGAAAACAACATCTTCCCATATATTGGGCATTTCAGATTACATCATTAAATCTAACACTATTTTTAAAAGTCAAGAAATGATTTTATAATAAAAAGGTCTTCAAAAGAGCTGTGATTTATATTCCTTCCATCAATAGAGATTCACCTCTACTGTACCTTTGTGCGGTCTGAAAAAAATCATCATCAGGTGACCAAATCTCTGCTGATAAGTTTCTCTAGCGGTCTTCAGGAGAAACAGTGCCACCAAGCCTTTTCAGCTTGGTTAGACCTGCCAAAGCTTATACTTCACTGGTTTAACCTGCAGAACTCAGTCTAGGTTATCCCTATGCCATGATGACTCATGGAAGGAGGGCATTAGTGACAATGAAAGTGTCACCATAGGCAAAAAGAATAAGGATTTCCAATGGAGGGGGAAAAATTATCCATATTAAGGACTCATTACTTAAAAGATATTGTGGCCAGGGCAGAGCCAAGATGGCAGAGAAAAGGCAGGGGCTTGCCTGAGCTCTCCTAAATTCCCCTCCAAACAACTTTAAATAATGTCTCAGAATGAATCTGGAGTGACAGAACCCACAAAAGGACAGCATAAAACAATTTTCCAGCCCAAGAAAGCTTAGAAGATTGGCAGGAAAAGTATGTTGTACTGGGATGAGAACAGAGCACATTCTAGTCTAGCAGGTTGTACCCCAGCAAACCAGCAGCAGGCCTTGAGGGTGATTGAATCATCATCTGTGGTATGGCTTCCAGAGCTCTCAGCCCATAGATGGTAAGGCAGCAGACAATTGGTTCAAGATTACAGAGGTCCCTTTGCTGGCACTGGGTGCAGGACTGTGTTGCACTGTCATACATGGATCCAAGTCAGAGTCCTGAGTCACAGATCCAGGATGAAGGGGAGCACTAGAGCATTAGCACACCAGAACTTGGGGAGAGGGGTCCGTGGTCATAGTACTGGGACAGAAAAGAGTGCTTGTGGTCACTTATAGGCCAGAACATAGAACAGAAGAATAGTAAATGCAGCTCTCCTTAGATCATACCACCTTGGAAGAACTGAAAAACCTACAAACCCCTAAGGACTAGCTTTCAAAACAGCTGAACAAAAAATCCTAAAGCTTGGGACAATGTTCCCTCCACCCTAGAAGCAGAGCCCAACTTTAACGTCAAGTTAAATGTCAAGAAAGAGGCTGAAAAAAATGAGCAAATGACAACAACAACAGCAAAAAGCAAAACAAAACAAAAAACTTTGACCACAGAAAGTTAATCTTGACAGGATGCTCAAAACACAAACTCAGAAGACAACAAAGGCAAAACTGCTACATCCAAAGCCTCAAAGAAAAATGTAAATTGGTCTCAGGCCCAAAAAGAGTTCCTGGAAAAGCTCAAAAAGCATTTTTAAAAATCAAGTAGGAGAGGCAGAGGAAAAACTGGGAAAAAAAAATAAGAGTGATGCAAGAAAATAATGAAAAAAGAGTCAACAGCTTGATAAAGGAGTACTTTTAAGCATTCCTGATGAAAATTCTGTTCAGAGCTGAACAGAAAATTTGACTTTCAAATACAAGACTCAAGAAAAGCATGAAAAAAGGTAAACAGGAAAGAGAAATCATAAGGTATTCAAATAAGTTTAACTATTTACATTCACATTTGGGAAGTTGATACTTGTAACTCCTAAGAATGTTATCATCATTGGAGTAGTTAGAAGGAGTATGTGTGTGTGTGTGTGTGTGTATGTATATATATATATATATATATATATATACATATATATATATATATACATATATATGTATATATACATATATATGTATATATATGTATGTATATATATACATATATATGTATATATATATATATGTATATATATACACACACATACATATATATGTGTATATATATGTATATATATGTGTGTGTATACACACACATATATGTATGTATGTACATGTATATATGTGTATATGTGTGAGTGTATGTGTGTATATATATAGATATATAGATATATACACACACTGAGGGTACTGGTGTGAGTTGAATATGATAGGATTATATCTAAAATAAATAAAATCAAGGAGTGAGAAAGAGGAATGAACTGGGAGAAGGGAAAAGGGAGAGTTAGAGTGG